GATGCGAACCTAGAACTTAATAATCAAAATATATGTTAATAAATACAGAAAGAATCTTTCAGTTTCATGTTCGCCTACAACACTGGGGTAATTGTTCAGTCGAGTCAAAATTTGTTTACAAAAATAAACGTGAATTTATTCGACGTAACTAGAAAATCCCATCGTACACACCCTATACATCTAAGCCGTACATTAAAATTGCAGAGAAAGAGACAATATCGGAAGCCTTTTTTGGCGACACAAAGCACAAATTGATAATGATATACGTTTACGTCATCGAGTTTGTTTTGCAATCCTTAAGACTTCCAGACTCCTCGGTAAACAAAATAGTTGCTATCACAAGGACGTTATCATTTATGGAAATAATAGTTGTTAGCTGTTGATTTCATACTTTTCTTTTGGAAGATCGTAAATCCCCGTCTTCATAACCTCCTCTTGACTAAAAGGCACAAAGTTTGGCGAAAATGGTGTGAGTCTTTTGAATGAAACCAATTTAAATGCAGAATGCAGTCGATTTCCGCTTGAATAGGAAGAGTTAAAATTATTAAACATGCCGCGTATCCGGATTTTTATTTTGAACCTGGAATTCCTACAAATGCGACAAAGAAGAAACTTGGACCATTATCTACTCTTTTTCGATATCATGGGTATGATATAATGATATGATGGCCTTGCTGCCTGGCAAGTAAGGCGAATTCTTTTTTAACAAGCTACCAGAATGGCCATTTATTCTTGTTTATGATCATTAATTAACGTGCAACAATCCACAGTCAATCTAAATATCTTGATGTTGTTTCATCTGGGTATGTACACACGGTCATGTTCAATTCAGTGACTAAACTATAGTTGCTTTAATATTTGGATTTAGTGATAACGAGAGATTTTATAAAGTTTCTCCCGAATAAGGCTGAGGATACACTTAGAGCAACAATACCCTTATTCTTGACAGCGGATAAGAAGGAACGTGGATTCACACCAACCTGAACATGCATCGGCGTGCCAATTATCCAGAAAGCCTAGGACAGCAACAAGAATCGCTTTGAACAGGAGAGCACTTAGTATCATGACGATGAAAATACTCCTGTTTTGTGCGATCTCTTGAACAGCTTCCTTGAACAGCTATAATTGTAATTTCGTCTTGAGCCCGTTCAGGAAAAGGAGGTGATTGACTGTCAAACAGAGCAGAATTTGGAGCAACCGGATGCTACAGAAGCCAGCGGATTTCCTACTCAGACTGATTTCCAAGCCCTTAAGGTCAAAGATAATGTCATTATTTGAAAGTCATCGCTAGATCACGCACAGAGTCATACCACAATCAAAACATCGAGGTTACAT